TCATAATTTCTCAATTTTTTTCGCAGCTTTCATTTGCATTTTTGAATGATTTTCGATCATTTTCTGTCATGTTTCATCATGTTTCGACCTTTTCCATCATAGCTCAATATCACTCTGACTTTTCATCATGTTCGTGTAATCTTCATCATTTCTCATATTTGTTTTTCAACAGTTGTCATGGTTGCACGTCACGTTTCATCATTGTCATTGTTTTCATGATCTTCAGTATTTGAGCATTTCACGATTTTCATCATTTTCGTTATTTTCATAGTTTTTCATGATTCTTAACTATATCATGTTTCATGGGTTTTGATCAATTTTCGTCAGATTTTTTCTTTTTGTTAATTTTCACAAGTTTTCGGAGTTTGTTTTTTTAATCTCCGGATTTGGCTTTGTTCCATTACGCCAACCTTTTTCTTTTTTTCGAAAGCTGATGTTTCCGTTTAACCATTCTTTGTTTTGTTTTAAATCGTCCGCTTCCCTCAATGAGTTTTAAGCCACGTCTTGTTTCTATCATCAGATTTGCTTTCGTTCTACTACTACACCACTACGCCAACCACATTTTGTTTTTGACCCTTTTCTGATCTTCAGATTTGTTTTTTCCCAAACAGGAAACGTTTTGGGTCCTCTCTTCAAAAAGAAAAGAAGAACGCGCCGGCTGGATGGGTTGCATGCAGCGCAGACCTGCGGGCCCGCGGTGGGCCCACAGAACAAAAAAAGAACGCAGCAACTTGATGAGCGACACAAGGCGCGGCCTGTGGTCCCGACGTGGGCCCGGCGGAAGACTAGAAGAGTGCGTCAGCTAGATAGGTGGCACGCGGCAAGGACTTGCGGGCCCGCGGTTATGAGTGCTGTTCGGAATGGTAACCAGATAGGTGGCGCGGTCTGGGCCCGCAGTTATGAGTTCTGTTTTGAAAAGGAGCTGCTCGTGACCGAAAGGGTCAAACAGGAAACGTTTGCCGTCCTCTCAGAGGCCTTTCCTTTCAAGAAATGAAGAACGCGGCGGCTGGATGGCCGGCACGCGGCTAAAGTCCTTCCAGTCTATCCCGGAACCCTCAACCTTGACCCGCAAGCATTGAACCCAAACCTAGGATTCTGTGAGACTCAAATCGTCTTGAGCTGCAGTAGTGTCTTGCACTGCTGGCATTCTTTGCCCGAGGCCCTCACATTAAAATCCAGGGATTCCAGAATCGGACCATCGTTCCATGATATTCAAGCTTGCAGAATCCAAGCCAATACAAAGGCCGCCAATGCATTTAAATAGGCGTTTAGATGTTTTCTGTAGTTGTTGAATTGTTGCTACTTTGTTTACTTGTTGTTCTAATCAGATAAGCGCTCAGTGCCAAACATAACTTTCATTTGCATGCTATCCATCGATGTTGTTTGGGGTCTTCGCCGGCACTTATGGTTTTGTTGATCCTCCACCCATGGGAGAACTTGTCTCGAATGATGATCCCATCTTGGGGTATGTACTAAATTTGGCTGATCAGTGTAGTTGGCAAGCAGACGTCGACCTCGGCGTCCACGTTGCCAAAGGTGTTTTCCTTTGGCACCCCTGAGCCCCGCTTCTGAGCCCCCGCTTCTCGAGTGAACATTTCCTCTGTTGGACAAGTGTTGGAAGCTTCTCAGCAAATGGTCACACCAAATGGCATTCAATAGAATGTAGTGTCCGATACCTAGCCGTGGCCCAATCAGCATGCGCCGCTTAGACGATGTGTTGAGACAGTATCGACGTTGTTTCACACAAATCATTTTCTAAGCCTGTAGGGTGCCAGGTTGCGTGCACATAATCCATAGGGCATGCAAAGCTTTGGGCATTGCACTTTTCACCGTACTGACGCAGCATTTGTTTTTTTTGATTGCTCGCCCGGTTCAGGTTTGCATAGCCATTAGCTGCAGTTGGAAGAGGAGTGAGCACTCGAGCTGGTTGTGCATAGGGTGCGCCCTAGAGCCTCACTTTGACAAAGTTGACATGCCCTTGCCTTCTCGGAAATCATCCATGCCTAGTGGCCAATAGTCGAACGTGTCCCAGCTGGGTATTGTCAAGCACGACAGTAAAAATGCGTAAGGGTGCCTCAAATGCAGTTCTCGGTGCTGGCAACCGTGTGACTTCCAGCAGAGTCTGGGAGAGGTCTTAAGTAACATGCGCGTCAATCTTTATGCCCGGCTGTGCAGCATCATTAGGGATGCAGCGAGGAATTAGCAAGAACATTGTTGGGCTCAAGGCTAGGAAATGATGTTCTTCCAGATTGGCTCCAACAAAGAACAATGTTTTGAGATCATGCTTTTTCCTGACGGTGCAGGTGACGCGGAACATGTCCTGGCGCGAGCCGACCTGACTACCTTGAGCTTGGCCAGCAGTCGCGGAGCATATTGGCAAAAGTAGCTGCAGATGCAGTATGTTTACTGCATTCGCAAGGTAGTCACGGCTAGTTGCAACAACTATGCTGAAGTGCAACTTGTGGATTATTGCTGCTGAAGCACCTCTGCAGCCAGGATTGCTCAGTACATCTGCGAGGATCTCCAAACACGCTTTGGCTGTTTGGAGGCGCATCATCTCATGTCAGTTTGAGCTTTCAAATCGATTTTTACGACACATGCTGACTCAGGTGGCAGCTGCATCCGCTGCTTTTGCATTGCAGATGCGGGGCTCCTCAGTTTTGCTTCAAGATGTAACGATTTGATCTTGGACTGGGTTCGCACACCCACAGCACTTGAAAGGTGCTCTGAGCACGACATCAATTCATACCTGGCGCACATTGGCGATGGTGAAAAAGGCAGATTGATAGGATTTGCAAGACTTGTTGCAAAGCATTGCCTGCCTTCGTCATGCCCTTTGCATCAGGAGTCCGTGCATCGCCACTCTCAACAGTGGCAGGGCATCTGCCCAGCATTGGCTTCGGGGCCCAGGCTTTCGAGGATCAGCTTGCATCTGCTCTATGCTTTTACTTTCAACACAGCCACCAACACTAAGCACTTGAAATTCTTGGAGCTTGCCCGCCAAGCAAGTCCTGCCACCAAGTCGACACCTGAGCGTTGTGGTTCAAGAGCTGCTTCTGGGACACTTTCTTGCAGAGCTTCAGCACAATGCCAATCTCGTCCCAGCATGCAACTGCCATGAAGCTTGCATGACCAACTCACAGTGGAAGTCGCTGCAAGCTGGAGACTGGGATGATCCTTGCGCTTTTGTTGGCTGCAAGTGCTTCAGCTTTACAGGCACTGCTCTGCACGTGTGTTGCAGCTCCACAACTGTTCTTGCAGAGCAAACCCTGCATCATTCAGCTATGGTGAAGTCCCTAGCAGTTTCGACGTGCAGCCCGAGTTCAGCTCGAACTACAGCATTCCAGTATGTCTTTGATGTCTAAACGTTTTGATGCTGCGAGGCATCCAGGCCTGCATTGCTTTGGCGCTCTGGTGGCGGCAGATTGGGTGTCTATGTGAGCCGGCCAGTGAACAAAGGTTGGCATCGCATGCCTTACTTTTCCATGCACCACATCCGCATGCTTGCAGTTAGCTTGCAGTTTGACAGTTGGTTATTGCAGGGGAGGTTGTCGAGCGCTGCTACAGCCTCCCCATTGCAGAAGTGGGCGTTCCAAGTCAAGCTGACTTGCTTCCGCTTTGCCTCTTTCGTGCAGGATGGGGGGAGTTTGCTGACTAAAAGCCAGCTGCTGTGCAGGTTGGGGTAGAGTCTTTCTTTGGAAAAATTCTGTTGGTGGGATGGGGCATTTTTTCTTAATTGGTCGAGACCTGAGGTTTTGCATGGGGCTGCTTCTCTCTCTTGTACCTTGTAGGCTGAGCTACCCAAGTCCTCTTTTAATGCCTCTGCTCTTTTCAATTTGTTACAGAATTAGGGGAGGTAATGTCTTCCCTGAACTGCGGTAGGCCGCAGAGATTTGAAGGCGAGAAGCTGCTATTCCCGTTTGGCTGGGCTCTGCTCTACAACGGAGACGATGCAGGCCACCTGAGCCACCTTCCTGCGCAGAGAGTCACATGTGGAAGAAACCCACAGAGGTCGTCGGTTGTAGTGCGAGCTTTGCCGCAGCAGCTTCAGTGTCGAGCACACATTTCCTCCACATGACAACCCACAAGGGTTTGAGAGTGCTCGCCAGCCTCATGTTGTCGCATGGTACATTGGTACATGCTTGGGCCACATCAGCATGTTCGCAGGCTGGAATGGACAGAGTCTACGACAGATTCTGTCGCAGATCAAGTAAGTCATGCAACAACCATGGATTGTAGCCTCCTGTGCTCGCATGAGCAAAGATGATAAATTAGGTAGCAGTACTGCACATGGGCTGAAACTGAGTAATTGCTACGCTGCTACACATCATGCTTGAGATCAACATAGTTTGAAGTCTCAGTGTCAGTATCAGCATACAAAAGAAGAAGAACAACCAAAGCAAGCTACCAAGCTCCTCGTCGCATGTTTCGCGTGCTTGGCCTCAGCGGCGAGAATGTCTTACAGCTAGATCTGGAGGAGTTCAAGATGAGACCTGAGGTTGTGGGTTGGGGATATGGGGTTATTGTGCTGCTTCTAGGATTTTGGCTTCAGTGTCTCAACTTTGGGGTTTTAGGCTTTTGTGCATGGTGCAGGAATTCTAGGATTGTATTGGGAGTTAATTCATGGTTGGTCCTCCTGCGGGGCCTACGCAACATCCCGCATGAACATGGTTGTACTGAGAATGTGTTCGGGAACCAGAGCTTTGAGATTGCAGGAGTGCAATGGGGAGTGCGACTTGGACTTTGTTCACTTCATCAAGAGCAAAATCCATGACCACACAGGCATTCCCCACTTCCGCCAGAGGCAGGGACCGCAATGAGGAATTTGGCAGATCATGTTGCGCTTAGATAAATCAAGGGCTGCTTGGTGTTGTCAATCTCAGGGTGGAAGTTAGCAATTTTTTTGCAGCTTTGGGCAACTCAAGCTCCAGAAAAACCTCAAACCCTGTCCCAAAAGCAATGTTCAGTGCAACGCCCCTTGCAAATCTATCAGGCTGTTGATGGAAGAGGGACAATCCTGGGAGCAACTCGGAAGCTCGGAATGCAAAGCTTCCCGGCATTTCGCCCATGAGGAGGGTTTTGCAGGTTCCATATCTTATCTTATGCTACCACGGCAGTTCTTGCGGGCATGCAGTCAGCCAGGATTGTAGGCGGGCTCAGCTGTTGACAGTTATGGAGTTGATGCCGTGATATCCAAAGAGTTTTTTTTCACCTAGAAGCCGCTTGGGTTCTTTTGTGATGAGCAACCAGGACGTCCGAGCGAGGTGCAGGTGGTGCTCAACCAGGCCGAGTTTTGCTTGGCGAATGGCGAAGGTGCTTCTTAGGGTTGCGCTGCAGAGGTCACTAATGACTTTGATGCTTCGCTGCTGGCTGCAGCTTCAACAGGCCGGAAGAATAATATCAATGCGCACATCTTACCATACGCACTCCCACCGAATGCAAATTATACACACATCCGTGCGCTGTGTGGGATATATGCGTGGGGTCGCTGTTTGTATTTGTTTTCCATCCCCTGCGTTTTCTGTGGCCGATGCTCAGCCGTGAGCGCACAATCCTAGTTGTAGCCGAACCCAACCCAACGACATCCAAGGAAGGACTCAAGGCAGTGCCAGCTACAAACCATAATTATCGTACTTTTTTACACAGATTTGTGGCTGGACAACTATGATTCATTGCGTCCTGTCAAGGAGATAGTCAAGCTGTCAACTACCTCCTGAACGGTTATCAGGCACGGAGATGCACGGATGCAATGTATGGGAAGATCAGAAGAGTCTCGCGAGGTCTTGTGCATGGTTTGGTGACCTTCAGGACCCGAATTGCCGAGATGAGCGGGGCGAAACGGCCATTCACAAGGCTGGGACCTTCTACACCTGCCATTCAATTGCAATTTCCTTTTTCAAAGGTTCCGTAGTCTTCTGTACATTCCCAATTCACTTGTCAGGCCTGCCAGGGAGGCTACTTGCAAATTGTGCAGATGTTGCTGGAAGCTGGTGGTGAGGAGGAGCCGCCTGTGTTTGCAAAGTGTGGAGTTCAGTGATAGACCACAACAGCAATCGAGGACGCAGCAGACCAGCACGGCTCTGTGCCCCTTCATGTGGCGGCTTTGAGGGGGCATTTGGACATCGTGAGAGCTTTGATTGATGCGGGAGCAGACAAGGATCAGGCTGACCAGCACGGAGCCGTCGCGCTCCACATGGCGTCATTGAATGGCGAGGTGGAGGTGGTGCAGTTCTTGGTCGAGGCAGGAGACGAGAAAGACAAAATCGGTGGCCTCGGTGCCACTCCGCTGCACATTGCGGCAGAGCGTGGGCACTTGGAGGTGGTCCGATACTTGGTAAATGCCCGTGCAGATTTGAATTTGACAAACTTGCGGGGAGCTGCTGGCATCCACATGGCTGCTCTAAGTGGGCATGTGGAAGTTGTACGTCTGCTGGTCGAGGCAAAGGCCGAGAAGGACCAGCGAGACAAACATGGGGCCAGTCCGCTGCAACTTGCAGCCGAACGAGGGCAAGTGTCTGTTGTCAGGTACTTGCTGGAAGCTGGAGCTGCTACAAACCAATGCGACCAGCACGGAAGTGTTCCTCTGCATGTTGGGGCCCTTCATGGGCATTTGGAGGTGGTAAAGGTTCTTGTAGAGGCTGGAGCCAGCAAGGACTTGGCTGACCAGCAAGGGGCCGTTGCCCTTCACATGGCGGCCTTGAATGGCGAGATGGAAGTGGTCCAGTTCCTGGTGGAGGCTGGAGATGATAAGGACCAAGCTGGCGGCTTGGGCGCCGCACCTCTGATCATTGCAGCCGAGCGGGGCCACGGAGAGACCGTTCGCTTTTTAATTGAAGCTGGGGCTGACAAGAATGCGAGGAACCTTCGCGGTGCAGGAGCAATCCACATGGCGGCCTTGAGTGGACACCTTGAAGTCATACGCTTGCTTGTGGAGGCAGGCGTTGACTGCGACCTGGTTGACAAAAACAAGGCAACAGCACTTCATTTGTCATCTGAGCGAGGCTTTGCGGCAGTTGTGAACTATCTGATGCAGTCTCGAGCAAGTGTGGACAAAGTGGAGGGCAACGGACGTACGGCGCTGCATTTGGCGGCTCTGCATGGGCACCGTGACATCGTCAAGGCCATCATGGCAGTCTGCTCAGATCCAGACCTGCTGGATGGACAGGATTTCAGGCCCCTGCAGCTTGCAGCGGAGAATGGCCACACTGAAGTGGTGCGCTGCTTCCTTGAAGCCAAGGTTGACCAGGATAGGGTTCAGATATGCTACGGGGCCTCCAGATGCTTTCAGCTACAAAAAACCGCGTGCCAGGAGAGGGCGCCGCGCGGAGTGACGCCTTTGCACTGTGCTGCGCGTTGTGGTCGTGGCCCAAGAATCGACTCGGTAGGATGCCATACTCTCAGATCCCATAAAGACGTTAACAAGAATGGATAAGAAGCTTGACCCACAGAATGTTAGAGTCGTTTTCCGATTTCATTGTTTTCTAGATCCTGGAAGTTCTGTCAGCGACCCTGTCCTCAATCATGCGCTCCTGATGCATTTTTTCTACAAGGCCAGTGGCCTGGAGGTACAGGAATTCGTCTAGGTCGTAGACTGGATTCGCTTTTCACTAGCAGAAGTACAGTTAGCACTGTAATCATCATGTATAATTTTCTGCTACCTTTCTTGGCAGCAACATTACAACCCCAGGCGCCTGAAGTAGATCGGGCTGCTTTTGGGTCTTACTTTCTAGATCTTTCTAGACCCCATCCCAAACTGAAACCCTTAAACCGTACTATCTGCAGACGAAAGCAAGTCCGACAACAAAACAGACAACTAAACCCTTGACCCTAACATCACTAAACCCGCTGGAGAACAAGTCCCAGATAAATTCCCCAAACCAAAAGATTCACAAGCGAGCCTGGGAACCTTAGGCCACCTCGGAGTGCTGCACCTCCTTCTGGAGAGCCATGCAGACATCGAGATGGCCTGGAGCCTGGGTGCTAATCTCTAACTTGACATTGGCATTGGGTTCTCCAAATGTTCTGGGAGTTTTGAGAGTACCCACAAGATGGATTACGCAGAGCATTCGAGACCCCAATTTTTTTAATGTCCGTGCAAGTGCAAAAAGGATGATATCGCAGGCAGCCTAAGATGATATTATCTAAGCCTAAAGCAGGTCGGCGTTGGCGGTGCAACGTCCCTGCACTATGCCGCGAACTTCGGCCACCTGGACACCTGCTCACAAATCTGAGCCTACCGGGAATTGGGGCATTTGGGGTTTGGAACCTTCTTCTGAGCGTTTAGTACAAAGCCATAGAGTCCTTGGTGCTATCAATGCAAACCAGGATGTGCTGCTGAGATTGATCGAGGCCTGACACTGACACTGCTTGAGGTTTTCAGTTTGCAGAAAGTCGAAAGTAAATAGTGTTTAGATGGATATGGAAATACCGGAGTCTTGTCTGCAATCCCTTCTCAGGGCCGAGCTCACCTGGGTGCCACAACAGATTCTCGGCGGTTGCAGATCCCTTGCGGATGGGTTTGCTGCCAGTCAGCTGAACTTGGCTTACCATCTCAGGCGCTGGGGAAGTCGCCCGTGCTGCTGGCGGCCTCGCGAGGGCATGCTGAGGCCTTTCCTGAAGACTTGTCCAACCTGCTTGGCTTCTCGATGCTGCCAGGTTGTCGCAGCTTTGGCCAAGGCAGGCCTGGGCTTTCAAATCAAGGATATATGGTCCACAAAGCATGTGTCGAGGCGTAGCGAGGCTGGAGATGTTTGTGGTTTGCTTGGATCTGAAACCTGTTGAGCGGAGCACAGCGGCTGAGGCACGGGCAGATCTAGAGCAGCCGGCTAACAATGGTGTGGCTTGGCTGTGTGATTGGAAAGACTTTGAGAAGCATGGGCGATTGAGTCGGCCTTCGGATTGGATTGGCTGGGGGTTGGCTGCATTTGCAGAGTTTGTTAGCTGAGTGCTAGAGGTTTCCGTTTTGGGCGGTGTTGTGCGAGGATTCAGGGCTTTGGGCAGCTCGGATTTTTGCCTTGCCTCTAGTGGCCTTGAAAAGAGCCAAGTCTGGAATTCTTGGATAGCGCAGTACGCCATGACAGTTACCAGTTTTTCGCTTTAGTTCGCAATGTCTCCTTACCTGGCAAGCAGGGCCCAACAATGAAACCTGCGAACAACCTGGCAAACCCCAGACTTGGGCAGAACATCGAGAAGGGCCGGTTGTTTGAGCCGTTGGTCCATCAGAAGCTGAATGCCTCTTCCAGGTGCCCAGCCTTCCTGCCCCAGCATTCCAGTGATTTCCAGCAGAGGATCCAGTGCTGAACTGCGACCATGGCGACTTACTGCCTGCAAGTCAGCAGGCTCGTGCAAGCTCGCCCGAACAAAGTCCTGACCTCGCCTCAACTCGCCCATCAATTGTAAATTGTTCGCATCTTCTGCATAGAACTTATGCCGCGCATTTGCGCCGCAAGAGCTTGTGAACACCTCCCGACATAAAGTCTTACTGAATCACTGGGATCAGGCACACCCTGCATCCCAAACCGCACGCTGAAGCATCTGCAATCTATGTTCCAGCTGCCTCGTATGACGGCAGATCTGAACATCCTCGCTCCAACCAGACTTCGACAGTCCATCTACACCCAATATGCCATCCTCAGCGAGGGCAGTCAGAAAGAACGGCTGCAGCTCAGGTGGCGATAAACATGTATGCAACCACAGCCCCTGTCGTCCATGCATTGGGCATGGCAACGTTGCAACTTCCTTGAAGGTGCTCCAAACAGGATGTGCCTTCAAAGTTGGGATAAAACTTGCTTCTGCAGCTAAGGAAAAACCGCTCTCTGCTGCAGCGCAAGCAGGCTTTGGAGAGGCTCGTGCGGTGTCAAGCACGGATTGCTTGGATGTGTGAGGTGTTTCAAAGAGCATGCGGAGGTTTGGGGCTGGCCGCCTGCTTTTGGATTAGGTTTGTGTTAGAGCAGGCTCTGAGAGCTTGGAGGGGTTTCGGGTCACAGTGTAAAATGCCAAAAGCTTGCAGTAAAGTATTGTTTGGCTGCATGTGGACAGTTTCCCCTATGAGTGGATGGGTGTGGGATTCTATTCCTATATGGGCCCTATAGGCGTTTTGCCATTTTGAAGAACTCTAGGTCCGGCAGGCTACCATCCGGTTGCACAGGAAATGGTGTGCATCAAGTGGCTGCAGTATGATGTTGTACTGCAGGTAGTGCGTGTGCTTCTGAACGACGATGACAGCTGGAAGGGATGCCAGCCACTACGCGCGGCCTCGCGGCAACTTGGCACTCCGAATCCAGAAAGGTCTGCTGTTGGTCATGTTGTCTGTATGCGGCTGAGTTGAATGCCATGAAGGTGTGGCCACGTGGACGTCGATGTGGTTGGCTTTGACATGCCACAGGCAGGGCTGCATTCATCCTGATCGATCCCTTCCCCCTCGCCTCCAGGGGGCCCTCAAACAGTGATCAATGAGCATCCTTGGTGAACATAAATTGATTTAGTTTGTACTCTTTCTTGAAAAGGTGACAAGATTTTCAGACAGCAAGGGGGTTATGTAAAGGGATTGCGCCTGCGAATGATAGGGATCAAGGGCTTCAGAATTTATCACGAAAGCTAGTTTCTTATCAAGCGTTAGCTTGCAACAAGGGGTGTGGGGGGGGACTCCCCGACGTGCCGTCGTCAAAAGTCACGCTTTTTCAGCCAGACAGCAGGGCAGCCATGCTTTCCGGCGTGCATCCAGGCGTGAATAACACCGTATTCGACCCTACATGACCTTTAAAGAACCTGTGCAGAACACCTCATTTTTGCTTGCCAAAAGAACGGATAAAAGGGTGTGAAAGAACACTTCACAAGTGCCTCACAGGCAACAGAACACATGGTGGACCCCTTGCGTGAACCCTGGACAAAGTTTGTTCAAGCTTCCTGGCATTTCCTGGCCTTCGTCCAAACCCCCTTGTGTTTGAGCATAACTACATACTGTATCTTCTAGAGTCTATCAGACAATTGGAGAGCACTAGATAAGATAGTGTAGGTAAAGTCAACCCGAAATATTACCTAGACTTGCATTTACAATGCATACTTTTTGAGTGCAACACATTTTGGTGTCAATCACGAGTTTGTGTCCTGTAGCCTTTCCCATTCCCAGTAGTAAAGAAGGATAGAGTGCGCATCTGCATTTCTGCCAGTTTGATTCAGCTCTACTTTCGTCCCAGTCCCTCTCCCTTAGTCAAAGGTCTGAACTTCTTTGGTATTGTGTCCATCTCCTAGCATGGCACCTGCAATCTTGTTCAGGCTGGCCAACTCGCCTCCATTCTTACTGCGGTGGCAACGTCAGGCAGGAGGGTTCAGGGCCCCGGGGCTCACAAGTGGGCGTTGCGCAAAAATGCTTCCCTAAGCAAAACACCCAGAAGAGTCTTGAAATCCCCGAAGATCTTAGAACGTCATCATCGCTGACAACTTTGAGCCCGAGATGGCTCTGGAAGTTGCTTGCAGGTCGACAGCAGGTTGCTGGTCAGCGCTAATGTGCTGCTTCTCAGCAGCGAGGCCGTTGAGAGCAGAGCTACTACGACTTCCTTAAACAGGGCTGCTGAAAATGCGGGTCCTTTCTGGCGGTCCCTATAAGGAGGATCCTGTCGCTTGCAAGGTTTTAGGGGCAGCCCTGTTTGGAGATTGTTTGATGTGCACAATCCGGAGACACCTGCAGTGGGAGCGTACAGGGGTGCACGAATGGGGAAATATTATGTGAGGAGTACCGTAGTGATGCTTCTTGGATTGGTTAGAAATTTCCCCTTCAACCTTTTGGGAAAATCTGGAGCATACTGCCATCTTATACGCCGTGAAGATGACAGCATACTGCCATTGAGGCAATTATTATTTCGTTGTCGTTGTCATTCACTTTGCAAGAGAGCACTTTTCGGGAGTCCTATTGTCGTTCTTGTTATCAGTAGTAGCATCAACATATGTATCGTCACTACTTGTACTCTTCCCGAAACATCGAACCCCAAGAAGGACCCTGCATAGAGTAGTGTTCTTCCAAAAGGAGGCTATACGAGCTTCCTTGTTCGAAAGGGTATGTCTTCAAGACAATCTGCTGGTGGCAGGACGACTTGAGATGCTGAGCCCTGAGTGCCGCAAGCCAAAGGGCACGGAGAGCATGTACCGCACAGTTCTCTGAGTTCACTTGGGGCTTTCTTTGTCCCTTCCAGCATAGTCTCGTTTGGAGTGGCAGATCCCAGTTTTCAGAAACATCAATGTTCTTGTTTTTCAGCCTGTCGGTGATAATCACATCTCTCAGAAGGATGTTCTCGCAACCTTGACAAGTATGCTTATCTTGATGATCTGACCGACGCACCTGAAAAAAGCGATGGGCACAGAGAGGAATTCGCCTGCTCACTGGCCCGAAAAGCTCTGGCGGGGGAGCAACCGAGAATTGTAGCTATGCATCGAAGGCCTGAGTGAAAAAAACTGTCATCCGCCAGACAGCCTTTCTTGTGCATGTTGAGGCGGCGGTTGTGTGCAAGTCTGCGGTTTAAAAATCGAGCTGCAAGACGTGGCAAACAAGACTGCTAGCGCTCGAAAAGGAGAGAGCCTGCAGTGGCTTGACTCAATCTTGGTTGTGCCCTGCCATGAAATAGCCATAGCGGCCGCAGGCCAGCCCAACTTGCAGTGGGAGCACGAGGTCGATCCTCGGTGGCACATCAAATGCAGGCAGCAGTGTCCTTGATTTTCATCACGGACCTGCAGACTAGTCTCCTCTTCATGAGGAGGATGATGCTGGATTTGCCAGGCACTACATTGTGCTGCGTGCCTTGTTGAAGCCGAACGCTTCTTACACAGCAGATTCTTGTGTCGTTTGCAGTTTGCGACTGCCATGGGTTGAGTGTCGATACCTGCTATTCAAAACACATGCAACCTCTCGCACACTTGCGGAAGCCTAGCTAGCTGAGGCACCTCCCGACCGGTCGCTGCAGGCTGTTAATTGGAGTGTGAGTTTCTTCCAAAGTCATGGCAGTTGTAGGGCCGCAATGAGTCAAGCCATGCATGAGTGATTGAACGTGAAGGTGAGGAGTTGCTGCTCTCTGCAAGGGGACATCCGCCGGACTGTGGGAGATGGACTCATGGTGTCCGGTCGTGCATGCTGGTTGTATGCAGGACTTGTTGGGCACAGCCGCGCAGAGAGTCTTGAAGGCGATACCAAAAGCCATTACCAAGTCAGAGCCGGCCACTTGTCACTGTCAAAGAACCTTGCTGTAGAGGCCAAGGCCTTTGAGTTTTTGGTTTCTGGCATTTCACATCAAGAGAGCTAGCATAGATAGTCGTCAGTGTCTATCTGTTTTACAAATCAGGCCTCTGTGGTAGCCGAGACTTAGGATGTCTTGGCTTCTTTTTGTCTGAGAAGGCAGCGTGCTGTCGACACTACTTGTTTTGCGCTCGCAATTTCTCATCCTTTGCTAATTAAATCTATCAGTATATTTCTTTGATCACGTATCCTGCAGCACATGTCATTGCCATTGCTCATTCAGTAGCTGTATCGAGAATTTATCATCACGAGAATGTAATGGCCTGCATCATCATCAGCGTCGTGGTCGTGGTCCTCATGATCCAGCTTACCTTCAACTTTTCTGCTCATGGTCATCTTCTTCACTATGCTCACAAGCCTGTCTCTTCTCATCTGGGAAAGGTCCGCATTGACCAATATCATGTTCTTTCCAAAGCTCTAGAGCCTCTTGTGACTCTCTTGTCAGCTGTCAGCCCTCGTGTAGCATGTGTCATTCATGTTGCAATCCACCACAGCTTTCTCATCAAAATTCGACAATCAGCATTGCCAGTTTTGCGTTTTTTGTACGTCTCCACCGTTGCCTTTCGCTCATCTTTTTCTGAGATCGTTGTCTGTCGTTCAGCAGTTTGCCATATCTCATACGCTCTCCGCTATCTATACCAATATCATTTGTCTGATCGAATTCGCCATTGCGAGTGATCCCACCATGTCATGGTGTTGATGAATGTCGTGATCATCGTCATCATCATCATCATCAGCATCATTATCATTGGCGTGATGCCAAAGTCATGGTGCTTGCTATCATCAGTGGAATCACCATCGCCATGTTATGACCTGTCTCAACACTGCGGCTGACCTCCTCCCTCCTCCTCCTCCGCCGGATCCTCCAGAACATCGAGGTCACATTGTCACCTTCTATCGTGCTTATGGAAGTGGTGGGCTTCCCTGTTCTCATCAGCATCATGGTGCACATCTGCAACCTTTGATCGTCCTCTGCATTTTCAACGCAGCATGCCTCTTCCCATTTCGCACATCTACGGATTACCATCATCAGCTTTAGCTTCAGCATCACTTTTTGCACCTTGCCTGACTATGTGCATTCAACATGTATTGTCAAGATTGTCGTCAGTGTTGCAGGCATCTCAACATCAGCATCTGTTTGCATCTGCCCTCTAGTAGTCATCTTTCATGCCATACACACAATCGTCCAATGGTAGGATCTGATCTGCATCTTCACCACATTTGCAGCTTATCATGCTGTGGTCTGCATCGTCAGGGTCAGCAGTGAAGGAAGTTCCATGGCTATGAGCGTCCGCGTTGTCATCATCTTTGTCGGCCTTGTCCCCGTCAGGGCCGTCTTCATTGTTTTGTCAGCCTCGTCCTTTTGGGTATGTACGTTGTCAGCCTCTTTGTTGTCTTGACTGCCTCTACCCCAACATTTCCATTTGTATGACTATCTTCTCTTGTTGCATTTACGTTCATGGCAGGCCTAGCTAGCTAGCTGTTTTAAACCACCTGACCCTCAAGCATTCCTGAAGTATTCCTGAGCGGTATCAGCGGCCACGCCACGCAGCCAAGGACTTCGAGGCACAGTTGGCAGCGTCAACTGTGCATTTGCCGCAGCTATGGACCCCTGCAAAGCCTTCAGGATGATATCTTTTCTTCTTCAAAATCCCTGGAGACGAAGCTTTCCGACCTTCATGGAATGGGAGTACGGGCCTCGATCACTGTAGCCCAAGTGACAGTCTCTCTCAACTCTTTTTCAGGTCTTTGCAAAGAGGGCCTTTGCCATGGGAGAGATCGTCGAAATTGCACCCAGCATTCTCCTCATGGGCACCGTGTCTCGACTTTCAATTAGGTGTGAAAAAGCACTGTTTGACATGTTGGTGCTTGGTGAACCCATGTTGCCTCTCGATACGGCAATGACACGAGGAGCTAGGACGTTTGCTGGCAGATTACCGCTACTCTGCGGACCGCCTTCGTCAAGGGCTCTTCAGCGCCAAGTCTGCAGGATTGAGGATTGGAGTAGGCCTGCGAGGGATGGTGCAGCTAGCAGCTCAGGAGTTGTCCTGGGCCACGGAAGCATCTATAACCATGCTTCAGTTCCAAATCTAGCAGCTTGGCAATTTTCCAAGTCTCATCGCTATGCCGCTATGCTTGCCAGAACTTTGTTTAATCGCAAGGCTTACCGCCGGGTTCGGGTGACGCGCTATTCGCCAGCACAGAGCTTGAGCGCTGCTTGGGCTTACCAGGAGCTGAAGGTATTGCCACCTTGATTCCTACGACTGTCAATTGTTCAAATGGTTCCAGAGTCTGCAACGCCAGTTCAGCTGAGATCTGCTACATCGCAAAGCGCGATATCTCAGTGGGTGAAGAGTTATTGTGACTCGTCCATAATCCGCGAGAGCTGGACTTCTCTCTGCGCACGCAGACATTGGGGAACGGTTGCTGCGCCTAGTTCCTCGCTTGGCTTTTCTTCCTTTGAGATCCCTTGAGCTCGTGCTCCAACCAAGGATTTCATATGGCAAGACATGGTGGACTTCTCGAGGGGTCTTTGATGTCAACAACCCAAAGAACGAGCAACGTCTACTGCCCCCACCCTCGTCTGCACGTGCTGCCCCCGAGGAAGTGTTCCAAATTCATGTGCTGGTACTGCTGACTAGAACTCCGCTGCTATCTAGATACCCCGTAAATCTGTGCAAGTGTGTCTATGCTTACATCTTTAACATACAGCACGTTAAAGCAAACAACACAGGGAAGTAGTCAGAGGGGTCAAGCCACGATTTGGCTCAGGACGTGTTCACTTCATCGCCTCATTCAATTCAATTCTGCAGCTTCCACCCCAACAAGTAGGTGTAGTAAAAATCCTTACTGACAAATGTTTTGAAGTCAAGAGAATGAATCACTGAGCACCATCTAAACAGGAAGCAAAACCCAAAGTGTGCAGCGACACTTCGTCATCAAGTGTACGGTGCTAGCTTCTTTTACTGTCTTCCCGCAGCAGCGTTCTGAAGCATTACTTGCTGCCAGAACATTCGACTTGCGCTTGCCCCCATGGCTAAACAGATTCTGGTGAGCTGTCTTGGCTTTATCTCAAGTTCTGCAATGCTGGAGGAGGACCGAGCACCTTACCAGCAGCGCTGGAACTTTGCAGGTGGATCCAGCTGGAGGTGCGTTTTTTCCATGCACCAGGTTTGGAGCACATTATTTGACGACAGCTCATTTCTCTAAGAGATGACCCCCAAATTTCTCGTGTGCTGTTACAACAAATCCAGAAACAGTTGTAGTAACGGCAAGAGCAGTGTCGACAATCATGGCACTGGCAATAAAGAGCAACATGCTGATCCCTTCTTTTCGTCACTTACCTGAGCATGGAGGCGTAGCCTGCGTGGTCATCACTGATCAGCGGCATGGCGCATCTTCTTGGCAATGCGCGTCCTGGAAGGGAGCCAAGTAATTGAGCCAAGAGCAATATAATATATTCTCGATGTCCTCGCACTTCGTCATGTGGCCTGGGGGAGATCAGCGATGCAGACATCGGAAAAAAGTGCCAAGCCTGCTCCCGGCGGCTAAATTTCAAATGGGGTTTGCTGAGTTCATATAAATAGCTGCTCCCCCAGAAATCTCAGAGGTCAAAACTGTGTCACCATGGAATCTTTTCAGGGAGGACGAAAGAACAGCCTTTCTTGCTGGATGTTGCATGCCTGCAGGACGCTCTTCTGGACGTCCTCCAGGTTCGATGCAGCCGAGTTTCCAGTCCTTTTTTGAGCTCCGCTTGGTAGGGTGTCACATGCGAATGCAATGCACATCTACCTTAAAGTCCAGCACAAGTGATCAGAATGCGCAAGCCTACAATTAGTGCAAAATTGCCGGAGGCAGTCTTCATGGTGGGTTGGATTGAAGTAGGTCAGGAAATTAGCAATTTGTTACCGGAAGAACCAGTCCACAAATTTCAACTACGCTGCAAGTTACCCCATGCTTGTCCTGCAGCTCGAACACGAGGAACAGACGTTCATCACTTATGCCCTTTTGCACTGGAAGCTTTAATACCCTGAAGGTTGGTTGGTCACCACGTTGTGGCCACTTGCAGCTATTCTCTCGAAGACAGCCTACACACTCTAAGAAGCAAGAAGCGGACCTTGCAATCCTGTTCAGACCAGCCCTCAACATTTCTTCTGCGATGCACCGCAAGCCCGCTCGATCTGCACGAAGCTATGGATGGGTGGTGCTGGGGGCACTTGCAGGCCAAGCTGGGCTCACACCTACTTTCTGCGCTGTATCCTTGATACTTTGATTGTCAGTCCGATTGGTAACCACGAGTCTCTCGCAGCGGGAGGCTTCACTTCGCCATCCTTTGTGGCACCTCTGGCCAGGCTCCGTGCTACGTATCTTGGCTTCATTCCTGTCGCTGTAAACAAACCTTTGTGATCCTTTGTGATTACTTCATCTAAAAAGGGTGGCATTTACTTGGGACCCCGGAGGTCACTAGCTGGTTGCCAGCTAAGCTTCTTACAAACCAAGCCAAACATTCCCCGAGCTGTGTGTGGGCTGTGTGGGGCCACTGCTGTGGTAGGCTCAGGGGTGCTGTCACACGAATTGGCCGCGTGTGATTACTGGTGCGCCAGAAACAGACCAACCCACACTTGTGTTTTTGTCAAAAGTGCCTTGGATGCCCTGCTGCGCCTTCCCCTAATCGTCTGCTGTTCGTGAGTTGTTGTTGGCTACTTGAGAGCCGCGCTGGGCTTATCACTTTCCGCGTGCTGCTTGCTCCTTGTGTGCTGCAAGCTACTTGGGTATTAACTGTGGCTAGTTACTTCGTTGCCCTGCTGGGCCTTTGACTTTCTTTGTGCTGCTAGCTACTTGGGTGCCCTGCTGGGCCTTTTTCAAGTATGAGCTGCTGCTAGCTACTTGGGTGCCCCGCTGGGCCTTTTCAAGTATGAGCTGCTGCTAGCTACTTGGGTGCCCTGCTGGGCCTTTCATAATGGACTGCCGCTAGCTACTTGGGTGCCCCGCTGGGCCTTTTCAAGTATGAGCTGCTGCTAGCTACTTGGGTGCCCTGCTGGGCCTTTCATAATGGACTGCCGCTAGCTACTTGGGTGCCCTGCTGGGCCTGTCGTTTTCCGCGTGCTACTTGGGTACCCTACTGGGCCTTTCACTTTCCGCGTGCTGCTAGCTACTTGTTTGGGTGCTCTACTGGGTCTTTCACATGTCGCCTGCTGCAAGCTACTTGGGTGCCCTGCTGGGTATGAGCTGTTGCTAGCTACTTGGGTGCCTGGCTGGGTCTCTGATTTTCCATGCGCCGCTAGTTACTTGGTTGCCCTGCCGGGCCTTTTACTTCTCGCGTGCTGCTAGCTACTTGGGTGCCCTGCTGGGCCTTTTCAAGTATGAGCTGTTCCTAGCTACTTGGGTGCCCCGCTGGGCCCTTCACTCATGGACTGCTGCTAGGTGCCCTGCTGGGCCTTTCATTTCCCGTGTGCGGCTAGCTACTTGGGTGCCCTGCTGGGCCTTTTCAAGTATGAGCTGTTCCTAGCTACTTGGGTGCTCTACTGGGCCCTTCACTCATGGACTGCTGCTAGCTACTTGGGTGCCCTGCTGGGCCTGTTCAAGCATGAGCAGCTGCTGCTGCTGCTGCTGCTAGCTACTTGGGTGCCCTGCTGGGATTCTCAGTTTCCGCGTGCCGCTAGCTACTTGTGTGCCTGGCTGCGCTTCTTACGCAATGGCCACTGAGGTGGGCCTTTTCGTCTTGCGCGCTGCTGGCTATTTGGATGGGGCCGGTCACTCGCGAGCGGTTCCTGGCTACTTGGATGCTCCGCTGAGCTTTTCACTTTTCGCGAGTTGCTGGAAACTTGGTTGCTTCGCTTGGCATTTCACTTCTCACGCTTTGCTGGCTACTTGGGCGCGGGATGCTGCTGGCTATCTGGGTGCTGCTGCTGGTTACGCATCTGCCCCGCTGGTCCCTTTTCCCTTCGTCGGTTGCCACCTGGGGTGTCCGGCCAGCTGGCCGTTGCGAGCTGCTGTCTGCTTCGGTGCCGTGCTTAAGCCTCACTTCTCTGGGCTGCTGTTGAATATTTGCTGGGACTTTCCTTTGTTGTGGGCCGCCAGCTACATTTCGATTGTGTGGGGGCTGATGCCTGCTTTCATGCGCTGCTGGCTCTCCTCCTTGGGCATGTGTCCGGGCGGGTTTTCCCCCATTCCCCTGCCAGGCAATGACGCTTTCGGAGCCTGGGGCGCTCCACCAGTCTGAACTCCAAGTGGAGGGGGCGATGACGTGTACCGAGCCCCCTGCGAAGCCGGGAGGGATGGCGCCTTAGGCATGGCCCTGTCCCCGCAGGTGCCGCTCACTCACTCACTCACTCA